AGATTATAAAGCAGAACTTCCCTAATTATAATATTATATATTTTATTATAATATAAAGTAATTAGATATAGAAGCCCTATTAAATATAATATATCTAGAGCTATAAGTAATATCTCGCAAAATATAGGGAGTCTTAGTATTTAACTAGTACTATAGTCTAGCCTAAAGGTACTTGCTATTTTTTATACCTAATTTAATAGGAATAAGAAATGCCTATACTTTAACTTAAGAAATAATTAGGACTTTTATATAGACTTAGGGTAGCGGTTTACTTTATAGAGAAAGAATAGATTAGAATTACTTATATTATATTAATTTTTAGGAAAGGTTATAATAAATACTATAATTCCTGAAATACTTTTAAGAAAGCTTTCCTAAACTAAAATAGGCTAGTTTATAATCCCGAAAAATCTATAAAAGTCTTATATATCCGAGAATATAAGTATTTAAAGTAAATATTATTTGAGTTTTAATTTATAATAAAAGGAAAGTAAAATATATAAAATAAAATATATAAAATAAAAATAAAATAAAATATCCGGGTATTTAATAAATAGAAAGCCTAATTATAGGTTATAAGAACTAGTACTAACTAGATATATATATAGTAATATTAAAGAAAAGATAAGGTAAGAGAAATAAGACAAGAAAAATAAGTTAGTATATATTTTATAAAAGAAAATAGGGAGATATTTAAATAGCCTAAAGGCAAGAAATATATATTAAAGAAATCGAGATTAGAAAGAGAAAGGCTATTTCTTATAAGAATAAATTAGTATATATTTCAAGATAAAGAATAAAGGTACTTAGTAATAGCCTAAAGGCTTTTATAAGTATTAAAGAAGAAGAGAAGATATTAGAGAAAGAAAGAAGATATTAAAGTTTAGAGAAATCTAAATAGAAGTTAGCCTTTTTTTAGAAGTTTAAGAAAAAGTATTTCTAAAGAGTTTAAAAATATAAGAGATATTAAAAAAGAAAAAAAGAAATCTAAAATTTAGCTTTCTAAGAAGTAAGTAAGTTAAAGACTTATAGTATAAGAGTTCCGAATAAAAGTAACCCGGAAGTAGTAGTTAGGTACTAGCTCTTAGTATTATTAGTAGAGGATTTAAAGAAAAAGGGGTTTAAAGAAAAAGGAATTAAAGAAAAAGAAATTCGGAGAAAGAGAAATTAAAAAAGAAGAGATTTAAAGGAGAAGGGGTTTAAAAAAGAAAGAGTTTAGAAAAAGAGAAGTTAAAGAAAGAGAAATTAAAAGAGAAGGAATTTAAAAGAGAAAGAATTTGAAAAAAGAGGAATTTAGAGAAAAAAAGAGAGGTTATAAGTAGTTAGATACTAGCTTTTAGTATTAATAAAGGTATTAGTAAAGAGTAATAAGATACTAGCTCTTAGTATTAATAATAAAATTAAAAAAATATAAAAGAAAAATAAAGGTTTTAGAATAAAAATAAAATAAAGTTATATTTTTATAAAAATAAAAAAAAGATACTAGTATAGGGTAATTATATTATTAAATTTCATATTTACTTTTACTATTTATTAAGAATATATATTTCTTAGGAAAAAGTATTATTTAGTATTTTTAGGAAATAATAATTTAATAATAATACTATTAAAAAAACTAAACCTAATATATTTAAGTATACTAAAATAAGATAATTATTTTTATATTAAAAATTAAATTATAATATTACTAGATATAAAGCTATTTTAGTTTATAGACTAGGCTATATATAAAGATTCAAGAATATTAAAGCTTACTCGAATTACTTATAAAATAGCTATATAAATAGCTAATAATATAATAAAATAGTATTATATTTTACCTAATTAGGTTAATAATAAAGCCTTTTATTATAATAAATATATAATATCTATTTTTTGAGATATTATATAGCTAGAGAAAAAAGGTATATAATTATATAATTCCTAAATTCTTGAAATTAACTAGAAATTAGTTAATTAGAAATAAGTAAATATTACTTTTTATATTTCTAATTTAACTAGTTACTAGAATAATAAGATTCTTAATATAACTAATTTAATAATACTAGGAAATCTAGATAGTTTCTTATTACTTATATACTTTTTCCTTACCCTTAATAAATTATAGAAAGCTCTTATTAATATTAGGCCTAGCTATCTCGAGAAATCTAGAGCCTTTATTCTAAGCTTCCTAAATTACTAGTATTACTAACCCCAAGCTTTTGCCCTAGATCTCTTATATAACTACCTAAAAGGCTTTCTATATAATAGATATTAAGTTTTTATTCTTATTTTACTAAATAACTAGCTTACTAAGCCCTTTCTTATTTTATACTATATAGTCGAGACTCTATTAAAGAGCCTCTATTATAAGCCTCACCTTTTCTCGCAAGTCCGTAATCTTTAAATTCTTTTTTATAAGATTATTAAAATACTTTAAACTTATAAATAATTATTTTCCTTTAATTATCTTACCTTAAGAATTTCCTAAAAAGAAAGAGAGTATTTTTATATTTAGCTCTTTAAGATTCTTTATATAGATTTTAGTAAGACTTTATTTTTTAATTTTAAATTCCTTTCTTATAGCTTTTAAAAGCTATATTTCCTTATTAAGCCTATTTATATAGGTATTACTTTCTTTAATTACTATATTTCTTTTTTTTTTAAAGCTCTATTTTCGTGCCTTAAATTACTTCTTTTCCTTCTTAAGATTTACTAGCTCCTTTTTTAATATATACTAATACCTATTAATATAATCTTTTATTATAGATTCCCTTAACTACTTATATTATTTATTAAATATCTTATTAAAGGGCTTCTCTAAATTACTAGCTAGAGTAGGCTTAGTAGCTAAAGTAAACTTATAGGCTAGAGTTTTAATAGCTAGAATAAGCTTACGGGCTAGAGTTTTAGTAACTAGAATAGGCTTACTAGCTAGAGTTTATAGAAACTTAGATCTCTTATAGTTCTCTTAATAAATAATACTAAGTTATTTACTAGTACTTTAATACTAATATTGCTTTCCTTTAGATATATAATTATTTCTAATTATATTATTATTAAAGTTATTAGTATTAAGAGTTTTTAATAAGTTATTAGTATTAGGGATTATTATTAAATTAATTATTAGTTTTTTATATAATTAATAATTCTATAGAGGCTACTTTTTTTTAACGGAAATAAGAAAGTAGAGTTTGGGCTCTTAATAGTTTATACTAGGATATATCTTTTTTATATATTTAAGGAATTATTTAAAAATATGATTTTTTCTAAATAAAACCGGGAAGTTCGGAACTTTAGAACAAGTAATTCTACTAGTAAGGTAGCTTATAGTTAGGCTTTAATTCTTAAGGTTAAGTTTATAATATTTAGCTTTTCTAATACCTTTCTAGATATTAGATTCTAGGAAGTAATTAAGTATCTAGCTACTAAGTCTTACAAATATCTCATAAGAATCAAGAAAAAATAGAAGTTTTAAAGAGGTAATTTGCTTAAATAGCTTCCTAAAGTAACTAATATAGTAATAGATAATTATTAATAAGCCTATTAGTAAAGGCTTATTAGTAGGATTATAGTAATATTTACTAGTTAGTTCTTTTTTATTATACTTTCTCTTATTATCTTTTTTTATTTTTAATTCTTGCTAACTATAAGCTTTAATTAAAGTATTTCCCTAAAGCCTCGATTTCTTCTTTTTCTTTCTAATAAAGGCGAGGTTATCTTCCTATATACTATAAAAAGTATTCCTAATAATAGTTCTTTAAAAACTTTTTTTCTTTTTCTTTACCTACTTCTCTTTTCTCTCTTTCTCTCTTTTCTTCTTATCTTTTTAGAACTTGGCCTAATAAGTATACTAATTTCTAGTATTTATTTTTTTAATACTATTATTATTATTATTCCTTTTATTATTCTTAGAAAAACAAGAAGTAAGAAGCTTTAGCTTTAGCTTTAGCTTATAGGCCTTCTATAAATACTTCTTTTCTAAGGTGAATTTAGTCGGGCTTAAGGAGGGAAAAATAGTATTATAGTAGCTATAAAAAGAGCTAATACCCTTTTACTTTTAGTACTTTTTATAATAGGCCATAATATTATAATATATAAAGTCTTAGATAAGGTAGTTTTAAAAAAATTAGATTAAAAATAGGAATAAAAGGAAATAAAGATAGTAATTTAGAGAATAAGAATATAATAGGAAAACTCCTTTATATTAAAGAATTAGTAAGATTATTTATCTCTATTTTAGGTATAGATTTATACTAAGTTATTTTATAATATATCTTTACTTATTATTACTAGCTTCGGATATATCTCTTACTAACTAATAACTTTATATATATCCTTATTTATTACTACCGATTTCGGATATATTTCCTACTGGCCGGCTATTTTAAATATATTCTTATTTAATACTACCGGTTTCGGGTATGCCTCCTATAAACTAGTAACTTTATATATCTTGATTTATTTTTGCCGGTTTTGAATATGCCTCCTATTAACTAGCTATTCCAAGTATATCCTCTATAATTAATTCTCTAATCTAATATAATTTCGTCCTTTTATATATATTATATATATATAAAGCTAGTTATATATTAGTAAGAGTAAAGAGAAGAAGCAAAGAAGTATTACAGGTAATAATATAGGGCTAGTATAATCTTATAAGAATAATTCAGAAGTATTATAATTAATTATATTATAAATTATCTATACTTAGAAATATAATTTAATTATATATATAAGTCTTATAATAGATAGTAATAAAGGGACTTAAGTTAGGTATAGTTATACCTATAGAATATAGTATTTTGGTTACAGGCGATTTTTGGTAGGGTGCGCACGTGCCACAAATTAGACATTGAAGGTCGAAAACCAGATTCGAAAATCGCTTGGTCTTCTGATCCTTACGGCTTTCCGTACTAGGCGCCTTTTTTTTTTTTTTTTTTTTTTTGCACGATATCGACGCTGATCCGAGAGTTGACAGACCGATTAGGGAAGAGGCTGAACGATCGAAAGGTTCACCACCCTTCCTAGATACATGTTTAACAATCGAGTCTGGTCCTTCGTCCACGTTCAAGACGGGAAATCTAGGAGACTCAGAAACGATCGTCAGTGGGATGGAGTGTCAAACCTGCCTGGTTTTCTTTGCTGTGCATTTCGGCCGCCTAGAGGATCGAAATGCCCCTCTGACGCCCCCTCCGTGAAAAACGCCTCGGCATCAATGCTTCCTGTCTCGAGCAGAGATCTCCACCGCAGCTGCAAGGCCCTGATACAGTTGATCCTGCGCTCTTATGCCGCAATACGCCCATCCGCGGCCACCACCACCACCTCCACTTCGCTCTGCATCCTAATCAGCCGATCTCAGCATCATCTCTCGATCGTCGGCGAAGCCGCGAAAAGCTGAGGGGGAAGGGAAGGGAGTGACGATCGGAGCAAGAGAGGGGGTCGCAGGCTCTCGGAAACTGCCTTATCGTTTTCTGTCATGGGGGTCTCGCGGCCATCAACCCCACGGAACCCACATCCATCAGCCCCGTATATCCAATGCCATCCATGTGATGAGATATATCCATGTTATCCGACAACGACAGGAGTGTCTGGCAACTTCAGCTGATTCGACCAGCATGACCATGGACCAGACAGAACCAACACTTCCGCGTCCTGGTCATGACGAGAGAGAGCCAATGACGGCACACAACCTCCTTCGGCACCGCAGCTCCCTGGCGTCATGCACCCTCACCTCAACTAGAGCATTGTCTGCAGGGGGGTTCGGGCATTGGGCAAACCCATCTCGTCCGCCCAAAGGAATGCATCACGATCCGAGATGCCTTGAGAGGCTGGGCCACAACACCTGTCCAGTATTCAGCCCGAGAGCAAGATAACGCGGCATCCAACCCTACCGACCAAGGGGCTTGAGTACATAATGTCAGGAAATCCCCAGTGGCCATGCCTCAACCATTCTTTTCAGAACAGGCACAACCTGCACCTCATCTACTGAATTTTGGTTCGACATCTCTCATACAATGAACGTCTAGCAAAACTTATCAAGCCGCTCTCGGCCGGATAAGATCGTCAAATCTGGCAAGGTGATCGAAGATCCTATACGCCTGTTTGGACGATTTGTCTCGGCTGTAATTTCTGATGCTTTGGAGGACATCCAACCCCTATTAGGTGAGTCGAAAGCTATTATTCTGATTATTCAGGAAATACTTGTACGGGATTTATGCTTGAAGGCACCGACTATTGCTCAATTTCTCGCCCAAGAAATCCTCAAACACTCTGGGGATGACTCTGAACCTGAAGTTCAGGGCTCCCAAGAACGTGGGTCAGGCATTAACCCTAAAAGACTATCAAGGAGAAGGAAGCAATTAGACCCCACTTATCGGCTTCCGAAGTCCTCCAGGGCGCGGGTGGATATTTGCAAAGACGGAGCCGAAGATTTATATGGAGCTTCCGGCGACTTCCTAGTTAGTAATGACCCGGTTACATATCGAACCGGTTACGACGAGATAACTATTAACCAAAGCAGCAATAGTCTCATGATAGAGAAACCCCTTCTAAAATACGAGGGAGACCTTTCGGAGATCGCCGTCAAGGAACTTCCCCAAGAAGGAGTACAAGGCCAGTCTTCTGCCTATGGCCACTCAGTATCGTCCATGGATAGCGAGTCACAGCTGTATTAGCTAAAGGCTATATATAATAGCGATAATGCAAACAGGAATTCCATCTACAGACAACTATCGGTGGCCATCGACAAGTCGGCCAAAGGTAGTCAAACTATAGTCAACCCTCCCTTGCCAAACAAGACAGAATAACAAGAGATAACCTTGCCAAAAATCGATAGCAAAGCATCCGACGATCGAGCTATATTAGCCCCCTCCCTACTACATATAACAGAACCGCAAGGGGCTATCTTGCCAGGTCCTACCCCCTCTATACCCGTAGGACAGATTGGCAGAGGATTCCAGTTACCTCTATCTAATAATTAAATCGCCATACCACATATGGCCCTATTTATACCCATAGTATACGGAGAAGTTCTATTACCTCTAACCAAAGATAACTAAACTGCCTCCCTACTAGATAAGGTAGAAATAACCTTGCCAGGAAAAATCCTATTATTACTATCCAAGACGGAATAGTAACAGGTAAGTCTATATAATACTGCTTCTATATAAGTATAATAAGTTAATAAAGAATAGCCGCTTCTAGCTTAAGCTAGCCAAACTATACTGCCCTCTTCCCTACCCGGAGAGGCATCTATATTAGCTAATATGGTTACTAAAGTAATTTATATTATTTATAAGATAAGCAGGTACCAGGAAATACTAACGGAAATCTATTCAGGAATCCTCAGTATACTATAACCTAGCCTTAGTGGAATACCGGTAATAACTACTATAGCGGAACGGCCGGGTTCTATATAAATCACAAGTAGCCCAATAATATAGTTAGCCTCTATATAAATTAATATACTAGAAGCAGGTTATACTTGTTCTAAAGAAATAACTATCTTTAATATAATAAAGTAGATAGGCGCCTTAGAGTAATATAATGCCGAGCTTGAATAAGCTAAGAAGGCCCTATTTCTAACGAAATAAGGAATGCCTAGAAAACGGCTAGCTATTATAGTTCTGGATAAATACCTAAAAAAAATTATATAATATTAGGGCTATAGAGAGCCCAGGAGAACTTGCCTCAAAAAATAATAAAGATTATCCCTTATTACCAAATTCGGCCGGAATCCAAAAAAGGATTTTTAATATAAGAAAGAAAAAGCTTAATAAAATTTTCTATTAAGGGCAAATATTATATAAACTAATCCAGATAACCTGTCTGGGAATTCTCTTTAATCCAGATATATAATATATCCTATAATATATATATTATAATATCTACTAACCTTAAGTATATTACCAGGAGCTATATAAAAGCGAGTAAAGAAAATATTAATAAGGTAGCCAAACCGTTTTAAATAGATCCGCAAAAGATAGAGTTTCTCTCTATCCTCAATAAATAGGTAAAGCTATTAGCCGAAAAAGGGTAGCCGGACCTCTCTTACTTCTTTAACTCACTTAAATTATATTATATTATACTATCGGGAAAGATCTCAAGCCTATAGGCTAAATATAATCTCGAGAGAATAAGCTAGTACCCTAGTTAGGTTTTGAATATATATACTAATGTAATATATTTCACTAATAGAAACCGGTACTATAAGACTACTTGGATACTACTATTAACCGAGTTATTAAAGGAATTAGCTATATTCTCGGTAAGTATATATTCAGTAATAATAATTCTATTATAGTAAATAGTATAATCGAACTTTTATATAGTATATTTAATAAGCTCCGTTCCAGGGAATAGCTTAATTTTTGTAATATTATAGTTACTCTAGAAATAACTAATAGACTAGTATTTGTAAGACTCGGTTTTAGTATCTTATTTTATAAGAAAAATATAAACGGCAAGGTTATACCTCTTTTAAATCCCTTATATTACTAGAGAAAGCAGATCGGCGACTAGTACGAAGGCAAGAGCAATTTCAAAGGCCTATAGGTATATATTTACTTGCTAAATATTAATACCGACTATTTTATATTACTCGAGATTAATAAATAAATAAAGATAATATATTATTATAATTTAATAGCAAGCTATGGGATTATTTACTGCAAAATAAAGTCTATTCCAGTAAGATGGGTAGTAGAGATAAGTAGATTTAGACAGACTATTCAAAAGACGGTACTAATCTACTATAAGAGGAATTTAAGTACTTTGGTTTGGGATATACCGAGGCAGTAAGTATATAGCCCTAATATATTACCGTATACTAATCTGGCGGTCAGCCTACTCCCTAGTAGAAAGACGGATGAAGTTATAGCCTAATAGTTATATATAATACTAAGCGGTAAATAATTAAACTCCCAGTTAGTAGTTAGGATAACGAAGTGGATCCAGACCGGGTAATCAAGGAGGTAGTCGGGGATTATTAGACGTTCCTTGAGAACGATGCTCTTCAGCCAAGTCCCCTTTCCAAGAAACGTAAGAAGATAGCCGAGGGCCTTCAGAACCATGTTCTTGAGCCAAGTCATAGTTCCAAAAGACTCAAGAGATAAGCGAGGGTTCCCAGACGGTCCTTTAGGACCAGGTTCCAAATTGTCCGGCTATAAGAGTCAGGGTTAATATCTATAGGCGATAGTATTATGGGATTGATAGATGTATGGTTCGATCTTTAAATAGATTTCTCGTAAAACTGTGCTTTTAAAGGAGTCGCTCCAAGCTTCTTTTACCTGGTTTACAAATTACTTTGTAAAGGACGTGGAATTATGTACAAGCTTTGCCCCTCCGTTATAATTATTACCAGTGAAGCCGATAGTCCGTTTGCTTTCGTTTTGATTCAATATCTCACCTTATCCTTATCCACATCCCAAACATTAACCCTACCACCCACTATACTCATTTTCGTCTATACAACCCTAGCGGATCTGCGGCCGTAAAGACCGCCAGCTCGTGGCCGCGTTTCCAAACAACTCCCCCTCTTCTCGTTCTTAATGCCTCCGACATTCGATCAAAGGCACCTTACTCTTTCCTCAGTCGGATTGTCTTGAACGCACCTCAAATTCTTTTATAAGGTTTGATATACTCCTCTCATTTGTATACTGCCGTCTCTTTCTTCTGGAGGTGTTTTGGTTATGCTAATAGTGGCCTTATATAGGAAATCTCAAACACCAGACAATTAGCGACGTAGATTTGATATCGAATTAGTATTAGGAAATATTCCAATAGTGGGATCGAATAGAATGCCTGTTACTGCGGTCCATTTTGGTGACAGGATATTGCAGTTTATCTCGTCTATATCCCAGTCCCAAATATAGCCCATCCGGTTAATGATTTCGCCAATACGGTCGCCAGAGAGTGTCGGTTCATCGGGATCTGTCTTGATTATGGCCGTATATTGGTAGCCCCGAAAGGTATAAGGGCCGGCTGGCCAAAGACGGAAGCAAATTGAGTAACCACCGGCAGACTTCCTCTAGGCATACTTGATAGCTGGTCTTTATTAAGCCTAGTAAGCTTAGCAAGCTCAGTAAGCTCAAGGTTAGAATGCGATAGCCTCCCGCATCCGAGTATACAGAGAGACTTTATTCTAATAATTGATTAGTTAATTTTACCTTGATAAAAGACATTCCATGTTACCTTGTTCTCCAAATAGTCGATATACTGGAGCAATTTCTCAATATGTCATAAGATGGCTCCAAAGTCGCTACCTTTTAAGGTAGTACTATCAAACTCTATCTCGAGCTCGTATTGGCGGCATTCCTCCCGAATAGCATCCAAATCATCTATACTGAGAGGAGTTTGTTGTCCTAATAACAAGGGAGAAGCTTCAAGATACTTGCCTGCTATTTCTATAAAGACATCTGTATTATCATATAACGGAAACACCAGGGTAACTATACTATTTGTCTTTTCGTCGATTAATATATTAAACGAGAAATGGGGATCATCTTTAATAAATAATATCTTTATAATATCTCGGTATTAAAATGAAATATCGAGCTTCTGATTATTGTTATAGGTATAGAAGGTATCCGTTTCTGCCTCTAGCTCTATCCGAACCAAATGATTACTCTCTAAATAGTAAGACTCTTTGCGGAAATAAAGTATACTTGGGCAGAATCTCTATTTTATTTTTGCTATAATTCAGACTGAGTAAGAGAAGGAGAGGCGAGAGGTATAGCAGCTTCGTAAATATATAGAGAGTTCGGAAAATGTAAAATCGAAGATATATAGGTAAATAAGGTTAAAGGATAAAGGAAATAAAGGTTTTATTGGAATCTTGCAAGGAATTTAACCAGAAGTATTGAAAGGAGGAGTATAGTTATATGGAAATAGTAGGAAAGGGGTTATTTATATAGCCTCTGGCAGGCTTCAGCTATTGAGGCAATTTTGCTATTAGTTTACTATTGATTATACAGGCGACTCCTATTAGTAAGGCTTCTCAATATCCCTTAGCAGGGATCTTACTAAATGTAAAAGTTCCTTATAGTATTGATTTTTTAATAATCTGGTAATTTATAAGCTAAAGAAATTCTGTTAACAGAATACATATATCTTGTAGTAATTCAATACCAGCTCTTAATAGAAAAGACTGAAAGACTACTTCTTAACTAGTAGAGCTTGGTATTATTTGGAATCCTGGGCTTTATATAATTGCTTATTGAAATGGGACTTTGCCTTTTAGCCTATTATAGGCCGTGATTTGGTATACCCGCTAAGACTATATAGCTTTTCTGTTTTCTCTTATATACTATCCGAATATTCTAACTTATCATGAATATTATAAGTTTAGCTTGTTTAAGAACTATGGGTATAAATTTCTGGGTATAAATATTGCGCCCATATTAAGTAGCCAGTAGTAATAGTAGTATCCGACCTATCTCTCCGAAAGATAATTTACAAATTCCTTATTATGTCTTTAATAGAAGTATTAATAACCGACCGAATACCGGTACTTATAGTTGATTTATTGGACTAATACTATATTAGCCTCAAGATATAGTAGAGTTAAGGAGGCAACTCTAACCCTGCCACACGCTTCTTAAAACAAACTTGATATAGGAATATATAGAGAAAGTAGTAGTAACTAAGCCAGACTATTTATATAAATCGCCGCTTATATTTATAAGAATATATATAAGGTATTACTTGGATGATATAGAGACTATTAATGCCTTTATAGTTGTCCTATAGTAATAGTTACTAATACGAGTGGTTTATATCTATTAAAAAGTTAGCCCTATTTTATATAGTAATTCTTTTATATACTATCTTGCCTTTTAGGATAAAGCATTATTGGGGTGGGTCATATTTAATATATACCTCTATAAATAGCCATATACTATAATTATATAAGGCTGCAAAGGAACCAGGGGAATGGCCTTATAAGGTTAGGGCCGTATTTCTATTAATTACTGGTCTGTATACTAAGCGCCCGAAATAAATAAAGACTATATTTATAGCTGGTTACTATAATCAGATTTTATGAATAATAGAATTAAATATACTAGATAAAGTATTAATCTAATGCCTTGAATCCTAGTCTATTAGCTGTTTAAGGAGGCCCGATTTGAATTATTATTACAAGAACTAGTACGGATTCGATAAAGTAAGTTGTCCGAGAGACTATAGATATCTCTAGAGGTATAATAAGATATAGAATTACTTGAAGAGATATAAAATTAATTAAAACATCTTTGAATTAGCTACTCGTCTCATCTTAAAGATTATGAATTATTCAAGAGACAATATTATTAAATAAAATATTCTAGTATTTATAGACAAAACCTAACCTACTTCGCATTTAGTGCAATTAGTTACTATTACCGCTTTATTGGGTACTACTGACCTTCGCCTCACCCTATACTCGAGTTGTTTAGACCCTATTTAGAGGAAGATTTTTGGAGGTGCCATTGAGTGATTTTGGAAGAGTTTATCGAATTTTCGATCTGAGAGTATATTTCGTAATTAATTTAGTACTATGTCCTCTTCTTTCCCAGCTTCTTAGTTGTCTTCTCTATTCTTTGGCGAGCTATCTTTGCCCATATCCAGTTCCCTCTCTGTATCGGATATTTGATTGGAAACGAAATTAATCCAGCCTTGAATTTCAGTAATTACTGGATTATCGGGCCCATTTAGGTCCCGAATTTCCTCTATTAACCGCTTATAAAGTACCAAAGTATTATAATATCGCTTCAACTTCTCGTAGCAAACTCCCAGATAACAAGAGTAGTATATGTATCTTCTATAGGTCTATTGCTCTATTCCGTGAATTTTGGCTATATTCTATTTGTATAAGGAGGCTATACTACTATATTGCCCTTTATATTTATAGCCCTCTATAAGTATAATAGAGATCTATCTCTTCTAGTCTTGACCTTATAGGAACTTTATATCCCTAATCTCTTATAGGGTGTTTATATATATATATATATGGCCTGAGGATATTGTCTCTTATACAGGTAGTATTTTATAAGATAATAAATAAAGAAATAGTAATATTTGCGATTCCGAATCATATCTTTTAAAGTTTGATTTCTATAAACAACTTCTTTATATAAAGCTATACTATTAATATATTATCCTTATATCTTATAGTACCTCTATAGGGATTTATAACAGGTAACTGCTATATAATAATTCCAGTCTGAAATTTTATATAGCCTGCGAAATGCTTTCTTATACTAAATAGTTGCTTCCTTATAATGGCTATTTTCTATAAGAATACTAGTTAATGCTTCTATTATATCTATAGTATATAAATCATTTTTGCCAAGTATGGCAGCTCGTTTTGCTATAACCTCTCTATATATAGTTTTGCTTTCTAAAAGAAATCCTGTTATATAGAGATATAAGCCCAATTCCTTTATATTATATAATATAGTATTTTGTTTGTTTTCCAAGAACTCCTCTACTAACTCTACCGACCGTTATATAATAGTTATACTTTCTTTATAGTCTTTTTATATATGAAGTACTAGAGCTAATCTTCTTATTCCTATATATTACCTTAGGTAAGAAAACTATTTATATTATATTTAAAGTTGAAATAATAAATAAAGAATTTATATATCCTTATTATAAATACTCTAAAAGATTAAACTCTTAGTAAGTAATAATATAGCAGATAGTAATTCCCTAGTATACGGGCCAAGAGTATTTAATCTCAACTATATTAGTTAACTATAATAGCTTATAAGGTTCTTATAAGATCCCAATCTCTAGGCTATTCGGATCTGGGTCTTAAGTAATTCGGTTATAAGAGATTCAGCTATAAGTAAAGAAATAAAAGAATTATTTAGCCTAATATCAGGATATACCTAATTATATACCTCTTTTGCTTCCTTAGGCCTTCCTTGAGTAGTAAGAACTTATATAAGATTCAAATAATTAAGCAGGTTCTAAGGAGAATAGATCTCTTCTATCCTTTATCTTATTGAAATAATATACTAGTACTAGTATTCTATAAGCTTATATATTCCCATTAATACGTTTATATTACGGAGACCTTCCAAAATTGCAAATATAGCAGGATGCGTCTCAGGCAATAGTCCTTAAAGCTTTAATAATCTTTCTTTAAACTCAAGAACCCAGTATTAGTTAATAGTTATTTCCGTTAAGTAGTAGAGTTTTTGAGTATATTATAAAGACAAGTGGCTCGGCTCAAATAATAAAAACAAACAGATTTCTTTAAAGGAACTTATTAAAACTGACTATAAAGTAGTAAAACTCACTATCTGGCGGTTATATAGTACTAACCCCTGGTATGTATTATTACTATTAGTAAGGTTATTATATTGAGTCGATAATAAATACTGGGATTCGGCAGGATCTGGGGTCTTGGGTTTCGGAAATTGCATGGTATAGGAATAGAGATTACCCGGAGGTATAATAGAAAGGGCCAAAAAGAGTCTTGATAAGAAAACAGGACCTGGATCTATTATATTGGGGGAAAACGGCTATGAAATACCGCTACTCTCGGGACTTCGGAGCAAGATATCTATAATTGGATAGTTATTATCCAAATGAAGCGAGTCTTTAGTTTAAGAGTAAGAAAGTTCCGTTAGTAATAGGAGTTCGTTATCAAATATACCTGCTTAAAGATTAGGAATATTATAGAATTACAGAAAGCTTTTCTTACCTATTACTGGATTTGAATAACTCCTACTATCTGCCCTAATAGCTTCCTTTTTAGTATTCCGCTTCTAATACTTGATTTTAGTATTTGTAACTTTAATACCCATTATTAAATAAGGTAATGAGTTTGGAAATAGAGATCCATTATAGATAAAAGACTATCTTTTAACTATACGGGTATTCTTTTTGAATCTCTATTTATTTATTTTTCGAGTTAATTGTCTTTTCCTATTACTTATTAGGTTAAAATACCAGAAAGCCAAATAGTAAAGAAAGATAAGAATCTGGAAGAACCTATATAAAAACGAAACCCTGCTTCTTACCAAGCAATTTAACCACATATTATAAGCTTTTATCCTCTTTAATATATAACTGCTAAATCTTTGGTTTAAGCTTCTTCTACTCTTCTTAAAATAGTTAATAATACTTGTTTATTAATAGTAGGATATTTACGAGAGATAATCGGGCCGCAAGTTAGGCTTACAGGTCT